CTCTTCTAACGCAGTAACAACAGATTACTTAACCTTGGCGATTTTACCATAAGTAGCAGATACTGTCTACTACAAATCCACGTTTTTCAGGGCTTTTCGTAAAATATCAATATCTCAGCAACGATACAACTTTTTGATTTGCGCCTTTTACCAAAATTCCTTAAAATATTTGGTCTACAAAAGCCCCCTACTTTGGAAAAGTTTCGAGAGTATCGATTGAAGAACGTCGATCGTGGCTTACGTGCAATGGCTCTTAATTCCTCACAAATCGAACTAATAAACCTAATTTCAATATAAAATATATTTTAATATCTAATGTGAAAAGCAAAGATAAAAGAATTCAATTTTTTCCAATCCAGTTTCAGCACTAACAGAAGAATAATTAAGAAAGTAATTCTCTTCAAAAGGAGAAACAATATTAGTGTGTATATATTTTATTAATCAATATTTTCAGAAAATCAGCGATAGAAAAGGGAACAGAACAAAACAAAATTCACAGCACACGGTGTACATTATCTGTTCCTTGAGAAGAAGGATCAGCTCACTTAAAAACATCAGAACACTAAGAGCTATTGTGTTTTTTATGTTGAAGTATAATATATTAAATTTAATTAAGTATTATATATATTACATCATAGTAATTTAGTTTGATAGTGATAGCTTTGTAATGCTGACAAAATTAACGAAATCAGATCAAATTTACTGGGAATAATATTTTTCTTAACATTTGTTTGAACATATAATATATATATATTTTATTTAAACTTTTTATTAAAGTGAGTTAAACTGCATATATGTTTCTACACGTACAGTCTGAGATACAAACATAATAAAGTTCAACTATCACCAAAGAGGAATTATTCAAATCTATAATTCACCAAAATTATCATTTCGTCGGAACAATTATAATCAGTTTTTTTGAGCATAATTTAACATACAGAATAATAATTACACAATTAACAACAAATACTGGAATAATTATTAATGTAACTGCTGTTAGAAATTCAAATTTAGTATTTTTGTAAAGTAATTTCATTACGTTTAAATCCAGTGATTGTTTGATGTTCTTTTGATCAGATTGAATTTTTGATAAGTTTTTGCTTATTATGTTAATATGATTTTTATCATTGACGAAAGCAAGTAATTGCGACTCGTTTATTTGATTACCATCCAGTAATTTAATCAATTCTTCGCTTTTGAAATAATCACCGTTACTAATTAAATAATAATCCATAACAGAATTACGTTTACATTTCATGTTTTTTAGTTGTATTTTTTTACCACAATTTAATTCATATTTGCATGGTAAATTAACAATAGCAAACTTTTTAATGATTATATTATCATTGTCATTATCTATGTCATCCATATTTTCATCCATACTTTCATCGCTATCTCTCATTAAACAATAAAGATCTTCAGCTACAGATATAATCCACTTATTATCGTCAATACTACGTACATATGGTGGCTTTTCAGAGGATTCAATAAACGAACATGTACTGATTTTTTCTCGAGCAAACATACTTTGTAAACATGAATGTTCAATTTTATGTACCATCGGCGGTAAGACATGACAAAATGTAATTTTTCCAAAATGACAGTTATTCATAACATTATCCCCATTGTG